AAAAAAAAAAAAACCTGGTGATGATACTTATATCCCTTTGCCACCACAATAAATGTTTGCTTCTATTGCTATCTTTGCCCTGTTCAAGAAACTTGTGCTGTCAGTTGGAGTTTCAGTTAATGTCCCAACGGTCACTGCGACTTATCTGGAGAGTTTTCAAAGTGGGGACGAGTGTCGACAGTGCCATTTACAAACACCATGAACCAAAAGATAAAAAAAGTTTTGAGTTTTCAGAGCAAAACTCAAAAGCTTAATGTAATTACCACACAGAAAATATACGCAACTCTAGTCGGGCAATTTTTGGTTGTCATGCAATATCAGTATACGCAACTATGCATCGAGATAATCTCACACTTCCCATAAGACCAACAAAATATAAAATGTAACAATCAACATCTCAACCTGAGTCTAATCCCATGTATAGAAAAAAGGCACAAAATTTCACTCCAAAAATAAAGGTTGGGCCTTTTTGCCAATTAAATTTAAATAGCAGCTGTGATCAAATCAACTACCACTACAGTTAATAATGAACGGTTTTACATAATCGATGAATTCCGAAGTCCTGATCCCCAATTTGAGATCAATCTCGCCACCGCCCAACCAGAAGAAATCCGGAGTGAGCTTCACAATTGCTTCATCCAAAATCACCTGGTTGAATTTGAATACCGTACTGTCAAAAAATGCTATTGTGTGTGGATTGCATAGCATTAATCATATCAAAGCATTAGCTAGTGATTCTAGGTGTCGAAGAATTGCAAAATTACCATATTAACAGGAACTAGGTACATACAAAAGGTACTTTAACAACAAAATGATTCCCTAAACATACAGGCAGGTTCAATCTGAACTGTCATGCAGTTAAGAAAAAATGACCCCACATTTTCTACATGCACTGAGATACAATTGTGCAACTTATCAAATCTGAACACATTGAACCTCATCCCAAATTTAAGTATGGCTAATGCAAATTGGGTTTATTTTTCTTCAGTTCACTAATGGAAGGGAGATATATAATAAACACAAGAATGCAACTAGAGTGATAAATCTTTGTTCCTATTTACTGTATCAAAATCAAATTGCCGCAGGAAGACAAGATTATCTTCCTGAATGAATATCGTTGGCATGCTGGTGGGTTTCTTGGAGGTGAGGAATCTCAATGTGCTATAATCAATTCTATACATTTAAACCAAGACAAAAACCATGAAACGGCTTTGTTATAATCCAACAGATTCAGACATGGCAGTTTAATAACAAAAGCAGTACATATAGCACGAGATAACCCGAACTGAAATAATGCGGTAATGTGAGGTAAAATGGACTTTTTTTCCAGTGCTACAGAAAAAAAGTTTGGAATTTGCCTACAAAGAAAGAAAAAGATGGATATCTTACCGGTATATCAGTTTTCATGCCAATACATGTTACTCCATTGTGTTCATAACCAGTCAAGTTGGCAGATGCTTCTTCTGGAGCAAGCCTCACTGCATGATTTGGTCTGGTCAGAGTCATTATCCTCACAAAATAAAGAGACAAGATAAACCCTTTTTGAAGGTACAGGGCACAGAATAATAGAAGTAATCAGTACAGCCAAAAATAGTGCATATGAACAATCATAGTTTGTCATTTGCACTGAAGTTAAAATTTCCATCTGTTAATGATAATGGTGTAGGCACCGGGCCAAATTCAAATAGGGTCAGAAACATCAAAACTTCAAATCCTTGTAATGAAAGCCGAACTTGTTCATCTCTTATCGGGTATATTTCCCATGCTACTCCATTTTCTAGCAGACAATAGGAGCTACAGACTTCCGGTAAAACAATGCGTATAGAAATGAATAGTGAAGAAATTTCAAAAGAAAAAAGAAATAATCTGCTATTACTACATTGACAAAAGTTCGAAAGAAACAAAAATTAATCTGCTAACAAGAACAGGGATTAGTAACTTGAACTCAATCAAAATTGAAGCTTTTAACTTACTGTTGAATTTCTTTTTTGATATCTTGCCATCATTGAGTGTATACAAAAAGTTCTTGACAGTCTCAGCATTGAAGCGAGCAGTATACTGCCCCAAAAAAAAAAAAAAAAATCATCATCATAATAATAATTCTTTACTTTTCCTCTTAGAGTTTTATGATAATGCAAATAGTTATTATATTGTAATTAGTACACAATAATCTAAAATTTAAAACAAAGTAAAAATAATATAGACACTAATTACCTGAACGACAACAACATAGTACTTGGAATAGTTTCTATTGCTGCAATCAGTTACATCGGGCGGAGCCTGAGTATTGACCTGCGATAAAAAATGATTGATTATTCAGAGAAACCGAAAACTGCTCTTAAAGTCCGTCAACCGTCATAAACATCTTGTAATATAATAACAAAGCAAAGCCCCAGTTGCCTAGATGCCTTTGTATGCATTTCACAGATACACACATACGCATCTATGTCGTGAAAAAAAAAAAAAAAAATAATAATAAAAAAAAAAATTGAAATGGAACTACCATTAATGATATCTTTTAAGGAAATTGAGGATGACAGCAGAATCTGACAGTCTGCAAATTTTCTTCCAATTCCAAAAAACAAATACCATTTCAGTTTCCACTCAAATAAATTTCAAAAGATTCATTACTCATGTAAAAGACACTAGACAAGAGAATGCCTGGGAATATCTCAGGCGCAAATGACAATGTCTGCTTGGAGCCTTGGACATGGCTTAAAGAACAAAACAACAAAAACTAGGTTGACTACACCATGTCCCAACCTCTTGAAGAACAATTTGCGCAGCCCAAAGTGTACACATTTGATCAATGCTACAAATGTAAGTTAGTCGGTCGACTGACCGAGTCCGTAGTGCATATGAATGAATCCGCTAAAAGGATCCTATACTCTGAAGCAAACTTTTGCAAAAGAACGTATGAACATGAATAGCTAAGAACTCATTTGTAACAAATTTGAGCTCAAACTAACACCATTCATCAACCCGAACCCCATTCTGCTTTCTTTTTTTATTGGATAACAATGCTTATATCTAACAGTATTTCCTCCATCCCTTTTACTCTACAAACAAATACAACATGGATTTTGTATCTAACACTCTTCATCAGTAAATAAGGGCGAACCAAGAAAGTACTCTACATATTTGTAATTTTCAACACATTCCTTAACATGCGTGACAAATCAAAACGTACGAGGGAAAAACAACCTAAAAGCAGATCAGAATTTGAGTGTGGATTTGAATGCAATTCACACGCTGTGGGTTCCTAATAAATCTAAAAGCTACAATCTGCTACGGAATGTCAAGGGCAAAAGAAGTACCAAAACAATGCTTTTGCAGAGATGGTGAATGGAGGCGGCGCCAAGGACGTCCCGCCTGGCTTCTAAAGTCCAGTCGTAGTAATCGGAGGGCACGCGCTTGAAGGAGAAACCTTGAACGGCGTTGGCGGCGAGGATTGCGGAGAGTCGTCCTTCAGTGGTGGTTAGGCCGCCGTCATCGGCGGCGGAAGAGGGATTGTGAGAGGGCTTGGTGGTGATAGAGTGCTCGAGATCGGATATGCGGCCGAGGATTCGGGTTTGTACTTTCTCTAAGTCCGCCAGAGCCTCCATGGATGTCGTGCCCTCCGGTGATGTGCTCAGTAACTGCTCACTGCTCAGTCGCATGCCTCCATTTTCTTTTCTTTTTCGGGGGAAGGGTATTTTTGTCCTCAGATCTCTCACTGCTCAGTCGCACGCCCACATTTTATTTTTTGTTACATGTACACATTGATATGTACAGTGATATATTTTTTTAATATATTAACATCACTAATGTTTGCATGTCACATATTTTTTTATCATTTTGAGGTATCATGATAGATTAATTAGCTAAAAAATATTAAATTGATTATAACAATTGCGTATGCGAATTTAAAAGACTTTACTATGACATTAAGATAAATTAATTTATTTAAAACCAATGGCTTGAGCAGATAAAAAGTTAATATTAATTTTGGAATAATTAACTAATAATATTAATTTTAGAATCCTCTCTATATATAATTCTCGAATGCGCTGCCTACGTGGCTGTTTCTGGTGCTTCGGAATCCTACTTGGCGAAGAATCATGCTTCGTAATTAGGTTTGGACAAATAATATTGATATATTAATAATTAATAATCTAAGTTTGGACATTCCATAAATATTATTTAGCTAATTTAGTATTTTAATATCACTTTTACTAATATAATTCTTTAATTCCTTGTAATTTTACATTGTGAGACACTAAGTGACTAATATATCCTTGACTTTTGATTTGTTTCCTTCAATTAGCTATTGAATTGTAAATATATTTTAAAAGTTGATAACTTTTGTATTTCTTATCGGTTTTACATATATAATATATCAAATTAATCATCTCTTGATGATCTTCGATTTGACATCCATATTGTATATATTGAAATAATAAATAAATTACATTTATATTTATAATAACAAAAAATATTTATATTTATTAAAATTCATTAGAAAAATAAAATTATTTCTCAAATGATATATTTATGTTTAATGTAGTTATATGTTGTAAGTTAAAAAAATTATTATAATATAACACAGGTAAGTCACACAAATAAAAAGTGTCCTACTAAATATATAATAATGTATATTTTTATAAAATGTATTTAAATTTTTAACTATTTTTTCTCATTAATTTTAAATTTTAAGAAAAAAATTAAAAATTACCAAGCACACGTGTAATACACGAGAGTTGTACTGGTAATTAACTAAAACAAAAAGTTATACAATATAATTTATGTTTATATAATTTTTATCTATCATTTAGTGCAAAATGTAATTATTAATTTAAATAATAATTAATATATGATACAATAAAAAAAATATAATTATTATTTATAAAGTGTAACGGACTAACGTGACTTTTAGAATAGTAATTATTTTAAAAATATGTTTCTATCTTTTAATATATTTTACACAATTCATTATGTAGCGATTTCTTTTGTTTGATTAGTTAAATTTTATAATATAAAAAAAAAATAAAAAATATGCCATATAAGCGTAGAAAAACATAATTGAAATAACAAAAGAAACATGAACAATATAGCACGTTCATATATTGGAAAATTGAGGAAAAAATGGAAAAAAAGATGAGCTATGATTTTTTATTTTTTATTTTTATTTTTTGCTTAAATGGCAGATATTGTCTATATTCATTTTATATGTGTATATATATTTGGAAAATGTTACAGTCCCGTTACAGAATCATTCCGTCGGAATTTTTGTAATCGTAGATCAACTATCTTTGACGATTACATGATGATCTATCGGTTACAAACCTCGACGTAATGATTCCGTAACAAGACCTTAGCATTTCCCTATGTATTTTCATTATTTACTTCCCGATATTGCTCGGTGATAGAAGTAATAAAGAGCTCACAGTATTCTTCTAGAAAGCCAAAAATATCATTAAAAGTTCGACAAAATTCTTCAGACTCGTTCACTTTGAAAAGTAATGAAGAAAATTGATAATATGAATTGCATATACGTATGGTACTCGGAGTCTTGGGGACTTTTCCGAACTATTGATAATAAATAAATAAAAAAAAAAAAAATTGACAGATTTGCAACAGTTATTTAATTAGCATTTAGCACTGCCACATTCAAATATTATACCAGCGATCTACCCCTGGTTTCTGAAAAGCCTGGTCGATTTTCAAGAATGAAAGTAAATTCTTCGTAAATAACTGGTAATAATTTTTCAAGAATGAGAGGGTTTCTTTTGACTTCTGAATGGCATCTCAAAGTAAAATTATGCATGCGTGAATATTAATGACTAGACAGCTTAACAAAGTCATGTAGGATGCTACCCATGGGTAGAATGTTAAACGAAACGAATTGCTCATATGCTCGACTCGATAAAACTTGAAAAAAAAAATTATATAATTTTTTATAGTTTGAGTCGTTAAAACTCGAGATCATGTCGTTAATATTAATAAATTAACAAGCCGTACCTCCAGCTTGATTTCTAGCCTCTTAAGAACTCGAGCATACACTTTAAACTTGAACTCAACTCGACTCATTAATTTACAGAATTACAGGCAGTGCAGCATCGAAAAATTCCCCTATCACAAAACTAGTCTCTCAAAAAAGTCTCATTCTAACGGTTGACCGCAGAGCGTTAAGACCCCAACTTCCCCCTACCCCCAATCCCCGCCGCCTCTCAATGTCCTTAATTGCCTCCGCCCCACGCAACCGCGACCCTTATAAAACCTCACACTCCTCTCTCTAAATTCCGACAAACACACAAACTGATAGCTAGCCAGCTAAACAAGTCCCCATACCAATGAAGAAAACCCAGTCCTCCTCCTCCCTTGGCCCCGGCGGCCTCGACCTCTCCAACACCTTCTTCACGCCAATCTCCGGCAACTCCCCCCACCCCCACCCCCATCCCCGACGTCCCATCAAGGTCACCGTCGTTGGCGCCGGCAACGTCGGCATGGCGGTCGCCCAGACAATCCTCACCCAAAACCTCGCAGACGAAATCGCCCTCGTCGACCCGGACGAGGACAAGCTCCGAGGGGAGGTGCTCGACCTCCAGCACGCCGCCGCCTTCCTCCCACGCACCACCATCACCGCCTCCACCGGCTACCACTCCACCGCCGGCTCCGACCTCTGCATCGTCACAGCCGGGGCCCGACAGGGCCCCGGTGAGAGCAGGCTCAGCCTGCTCCATCGCAACGTGGCACTGTTCCGGCGAATCGTGCCGCCGCTGGCCGAGCACTCTCCCGAGAGTATTATCATGGTGGTTTCGAACCCGGTGGACGTGCTGACGTACGTGGCGTGGAAGCTGTCTGGGTTCCCGGCCAACCGGGTAATCGGGTCGGGCACGAACTTGGACTCGTCCAGGTTCAAGTTCCTCATTGCGGATCACCTTGATGTCAATGCACAGGACGTCCAGGTTCATTGAATTAATTACTATTCTTCCATTTCTAAATTATTATTTTTCATTTCTAAATTGTGTTTCAAAATTTTTATCTACAAACCTCATTGCCTAAACATTGTACGTATGTCTAATAAAAACAGGCATATGTTGTTGGTGAGCATGGTGACAGCTCTGTCGCACTCTGGTCCAGCATAACGGTGGGAGGCGTACCCCTCCTGAGCTCCTTAGAGAGGCAACAAGTCGCATTCGAGGAGGAAACACTTAGGAACATACACAAAGAGGTGGTCCAAAGCGCGTACGAGGTCATACGCCTCAAAGGCTACACGTCTTGGGCCATCGGCTACTCTGTCGCCAGCCTGGCTCGGACCTTGCTGAGGGACCAGAGAAGGATTCATCCCGTCTCGGTTCTTGCAAAGGGCCTTCACGATATCGAAGGAGGTGAGGTCTTCCTCAGCTTGCCGGCTCAGCTGGGTAGGAGTGGGGTCGTGGGCGTGGCTAATGTGCACTTAACCGACATGGAAGCCGAGCAGCTCAGGAGCTCGGCTCGGACCCTTCTCGAGTTGCAGAGCCAGTTGGGCATTTGATTATTAATTCGGAATCTTTTGTTGTACGTCTATATATTGTATACTTGTTCGGGCTCTATATTTATATTGTGTACGTCATAATGAAAATGTTATGCTAACATCTATCTATCATTATGAAAATTAATGTTGTGCTAACAGGTAGTCAATACATTTATCAAATAGCGTCACGTTCATAATAAAGGTAATTAGGTTGTGAGAGAAACTGATTTCTATTTCAATGGCGCGGGTAGGAAAGGTGGGAGTTGAGCCAATTGTGTCGTGATTATCCATGATAAGATCCAATCAAATCTATTACTATATAAATGAGTTAAAGGAAAAATACATAATTAGTATGTCATTTTCTCGTTCATTTTTTTCGTTTTATACAATTTGTGGTAAATTTTTTTCGAAAAATTTGAATTCTCCCGTCTGTGATGTCTTTTAAAAATTTTGAAAAAAAAAAATAAATTCAAAAATCTACATAAAAAGATCACACGAAGATTTTTTTGGAGATTTTGTATTATCTAATACAATAGAATAGGAATGAGGCACTTGTCTCATTTTCATTGGTTCACTATAAATTTTATATGATAAAATAAGTATAACTCAAATTATTTATATTATTTTATATTAAAAAATAAAATAAAAAATATCAAAATTCGTATTTTTTCATACTTTGTAAATAGAGACCACTCTTGATATGTTTTAGAATACAACTGAAATTATTATGTTGGGTTAGGTTGTAGATAAAACAATACCAAAAAATATATTGTAGATAATATTTATTAAATAAATAAATAAAAATAAAATAAATATTATATTTTTGTTGGGTCACCAACTAAAAAAAATAAAAGAATAAAAAAATAGCAAAATCCGCGACCCAGGTCAAATTGTGACCCTGGGTCGCAACCTAGCCATAAGGAGGGAGAGGGAAATGAGGTGAGTGGAATGGGACAAGTATCTCATTCTAATAATAATAATAATAACAATAATATTATTATAATAATATTATTATAATAATATTATTGTTATTATTATTATATATTATAACAATCTTTTGTAATTCAACTTGAGTAATTTTGTTATACAATAATTATTATAAAAAATAAACTTATAAACTATCAATGTCAAGTAGAAATAAAAAATATTGATTGAAATTTCAAAAAAAGTTATTTTCTTTCGGTTTTCCGAAAATATTGGGATGATATGTTTACGAAATTCAGTGGGAAAACAATGCTCCTGCTTTTGAGAATTTAAAAGAGAAAGGGCAACTATGAAATGCTCACATAAAGAATACTATTTATATTCTGTTTTGTAATAAAGTTATAAATATTTTGTTACCTTTTACATGAATTCATATTGAAACCGAGATTTCAAAATAAATTTTAATATAAAATTTTTCTATTTAATTGAGAATCACATGTTTCTTTATCAACGGAATTCATTTGAATTTTGTTTTGTAATGCAAAATTAAAGAGACAAAAATTATAAAAAATCTTTTATTATTTCAAAATAAATAAATAATAAACATTAATTAGCAAGTTAGGATACATATCCGATTTTTTACCAAGTCAAATGCTT